GGAGTGTAGGGTTCTTTCTGCATTTGTAAAACTGGGAGGCTTGGGTGGATTTTTCATCTCCCACTAGAAAAAGTCTGGACGGAACTCCACCTCAAGGTTCTGGCTGATGCTAAACACCACGAGCAATGCAGCCCTCACTCATGCCACATCTCATCRCCCTCCATCACATTCAGCATATTCAACTTGCATTGTGCGGTCCCTTTTTCCTTCACAATAAACCAAACATTTTTATAACCCATACCAAGCACTATGCATTATTTTACGGAAATGCTGGAGAATTCAAATTCCTGTTGTGGGATTTTAAAACTGGAGCTCTATCCATCAGAMACTCAAGGATGCTGTAATACATTTCCAAAGGATGGCTTCCAAAAGGACCTGTGCATGATTTATAGGTAATTTTATAGAAGCCTAAATCACTGATTAATAAAGACAAATTTCAGTTCCATCCTTACTTCTACTTGGTATCACCTCAGAACGGTCAATGCTACCAAATATTTATCCCCACAATGGCCCTAAGTGTTCCTACATTGAGAGAGGCACCATTTCATCACAGGGACCTCTCTGAAGAGTATGCTACACCCTGAGTAAGTCTGCACTGAACTTCCTTAGCACCTAGCATTGTCTTCCCTAGACAGCAGAGATTCAACCTAAATCATATCCTGCMTGAGCATGCAAGTTTCCCATGTATCTGCAAAGCAGATCTGAAGACTGATCACTTCTGAACAACATTCTTCACATCTTTGCCAAGTAGGAATTGCAGCATTTAAGCTTTTGAAGGCAATGAACTATGTAGGAGATAAACCCTGAAATTGTCAGGAGTCCAAAGCAGTCCACCAATTGGTATGAAACCTATACTGGTTTCTCAGTGTGGGGGGAAGCAAGCCCTCCCTCTGTTCTGGAGCAGGTCTGGATAAGTACATCCACCAAATTATATGAAACAGAAGGCATTTCACTRGACTTGTTGCCATAAATAGAGGTGGTGGAGCTAAAAAGTCAAAATTCATTTATACTCAAGAAGAGAATAACAATGACTAACCACATAAGAGCAGATTCTGCTGCAGCTGGGTTTGCTATGTCTCAAGACTAAGTCAAGGAAATTTCTGACAAATAAGCTTTCTTCCCTATCCAAAAAACTATACCTACTCCTCAGATCTGGAAGGTTTTTGTCCACCTGAAGTCCTGATTTTGCATGACAGGGGCACAAAGACCAAAACTGGGAGTTATGCTCAGGCCCGCAAGCACATTCCAGTTGTGTTTGACAAATAAATAAGAAACTTGCTATTCTAACTCRCCTGTCCTGTTTTAAGATACCAGAATCATGTTCCACGACTCACAAACAATTGCCCCATGGTTTCTGCAGCCTTTACAGAAACCCTTTGTACCCCCTGGTAGGRCTCCCCTGCAAAACCAACAGAATAATGCTGCCAGTTCAGACATTCTATTTCATAGCCATGATGYTTAACAGCAAATCATCAGGAGGAAAAAGTGAGAATGATCTAAGGCTCCTAAACACCACAAGCTGGAAAGACTGAAACAGATGGTTTGTCTAGCCTAGGGAAAAGACCTCAATTGCACAGRCCTTTGAAGCAGTTGAAAAGAGGAAGAGTTATTCTGCAGACCTGTCCTGGACAGCAGTAATGGGCTTACACACAAGCAAGGGACATACAGAGCATTAGGAAACAATTTCCATTTGCAAGAACAGAGAAGAACTAACACAGTTTCTCCAGGGAAATAATAGAGCCTCCATCACTATCATTGAATGGTTCCAGTCTTCATCAGGGAGTGACTGAGATGCAGCCAAATTGTCCAGGTACAGATCAAATCAGCCCTGAACTTCTCTACTCTTATTTACTATGACTCAATGGAAGTCAGACCAGCAAATTCACTGTTTACTTGATATATTTTGCATGTAATRTTCAAAGAAATAGATAGAAAGCATGCCCCTAAAAATATAACTGATAGAAGAGCAGCTGAAGTGAAAACAAACCATTTTGATCAAGTGCCTGAGCACAGATTGATCAGTTAAGAGCAGGGTGGCTTTCCTTACTTCCACAGACACACACCTGACTGCACCCACAGTACAGAGGATCTTACTCCACAGATATACAATTTGGTGCTTTTGTGATATCTTCAGTTTGTTGAATGTGCAACCAGTCAACTGAAGTGAAAATGCAGAGTACCCAGTTCCTTCACAACAGACCCCAGAATGGTGACAGCATAACTACAACCTGCCCACATGAACTGCCTCGGTGGCCTGAATAATTTGTGAAATGGGTAATGATCTGTTTTTTAAGACAATTAAAGCAAGATCACCTCTCACTGCACCTTTTCTCCCCCCCCGCTACTCTCTCTTTGAGATAGCATCAAGGAAAAGCAAAGAGACCTGAAGAGAACCATCACCTGGTCTTTGAGGTAGAAATGTTTTACATTTTTGAGCATTACCTGTGCCTACAGGRCCCACAGTGAGACCTCAGCTCTACATACTCTACACAAGCAGTAGACACAATGTAGTATCACCACACACACAGTATGCCTCTGAGCTAAAGGCTTACCTGAACTGCCACATTCTGCTTTCCTGCTTCCTGCATCTTATCCAAGCCACATTTCTTGGTCTCATTCTTTCTTTTATTGTTATCCTTCTTCCCATCATTCTTATTGGCTACTATTCCTTTGCTAAAGTCCCGTCTCTCTCTCGCTACATCCTTTGGGGGGTAGATGCGCCCTTGCTCTCTGTTCATCTCCCGAGGCTTGATGTTCTCTTTGAAGGTGACCATTGGTTTTTCTCCTGCCTCACAGCTGTTGCTCAGGCTTCTGCCAGAGGACAACACTGATTTGAGTCCAGGGCTCCCATCGGCACACAGCGGCTCTGCCATGCATGTCTCCTGCAAGGTGAGACTCTCTTTGGCTTCACTAGGGTCCTCCAGTAAGAGCTCTGGGATTTCTGTCACAAACAACAGCTTTCCTACCTCGTTTTCACACTGAATCAACCTGAAAAAGACAAGAAGGAATTGAAAAGCAAGTATGCTAACTACATTGCTTATCATAGTCAGTCTGTGAAGCAGTGGCACATGGTCTGACAGAACACGTTTTTAGTGCTGTCAGCATTTTGGGCTCACATTACACCCAAATGCTGTGCTGAACAGAGAGAAAAATAACATTCCACACCAGCACCTGTGACAGCTCAGCTYTCAGCAGCATGGGAATTACAAAGTACTTGCTATTACCTTGGCTGATTATCAGCAATCCATTTGCCTGTGAAGATCAGGCGCTGCTGCCGTATCCGACGTTGCTGCCCTTCTTTATCCCCTGTAATTGCCTGGTGGCCTTTGGAAAAATCCAARTTCCTAATATTGACATAGAAGAAGGAATATTAATTACACAATTACCMTCTGCAACATCCTATTTCTTTAGAAATACAACGTGTGAGCATTGCACTATTAAAAGCTGTGAACTTTCCCCAGATATTATTCAGAACACGACTGTTAAGAGATATCTGATTTACAAATGTAATTCTCATCTGGTAAGATGCATCTACATTGAAGAGGTTTAGTGGGGTCATGAGCAGTATTACRAGCTCAAAAATTTTGTAAGAATTTTCCTACACTGTCCATAACMGTTGTTTTGAAGAGATGGATATCCACCTATACAACAGTAAATATTCATAAACAAGATACTTAGTGAACAAGCCAATGTCTGTCAAAGTCTTGACATCAGCAAGAGCGCAAGATCTTTCAGCTGTCACCCACCTGAATGAGGGCCTCAGAGCCAGGAATCCTTGCAACTCAAATTCTTCTGGAAGTGGGGTTGCTGGCAAACAGACAGTAAACAGCATAAGGAAAGCATGAAAACACTGAGCACAGTGTCACAGTAGATACCTCAGCATGGTCTCTATACATATAAAGCCTTCTATTAACTGGTCCACCCCACAATCTGAGGAACTCAGGAATGATAAAGCAGAGCAAAGTCTGCTCAGCACAAAAAAAAGCAGCATTTGCGAAGTATTCTCATGAACTAATATAAGAAGACAACTTGCTTCTTATTTTCTTTTCAACTGTAATTCCCCACATCAGCAGGAAAAACACTGTTTTTCCCAGTTCTTCACAGCACAAACTGCAAGTGTCCTTACCGTTATTACTGGATAGATCTTCTTCATGAGGCTGGAAACTATTTAGAAGAGAGATCAGCCAGGGCCATATGCTACAAATTAGAAAACAGGCAAACCCTAAGTGAAAAGTGCAAAACATGGGATGTGTTTGCTTTACCAAGAAAACACTGAATGCTGTTACAGTCACAGCTTACATTAATCCCCTGATTCCCCAAAAAAGTTTCTCTCAAGTGTCAGTGAAAAGACCACTTTCTTGAAAGAATTACTGTTATTAAAAAGTCAAAGTTCCCAAGGAAGCCGGGCTCTCACAGCACAGTGTCCATTATCCAGCAGGCCAGACAGTCCACAGTGAATTTAACCAGATAAATGCAAAGCGTGAGCAAGTGCTGCGAGCACCTGTCTGCAATTCATGCTTTCCAGTCCAAAGCCCATGGCTCTCAAGGCACAGTCGACGAAGCAGTTTAGGCAGCAAAACAATTTACCAAGACACAGCTGTGAAGAATTACTTTTGCTCCATGAACATGAACACTGTACTGTAGTGCTGGAGCACTCACCACCAAAGGAACACATTCTAAAGAAATGGTTGCACTAAGACCATTAAACTACAGGTGAACTTGCAGTCCCCTGCCTTGCCCTCACAATACCTGGGACTGGAAATTCTTCCCAAAGGCCCTGGAGCAACTAATTTAAAAATCACACTGATCACTACATAGGTGGTTAAAATTTAACTGCCACCACAAGGCTGCTTCCTCCTGTTTGTTAAAAGCTTCCACCCAAAAGTCCAATAATCCTTCTGCTTTAGTGATGGGCACCATGGAAGCAACAGAAAACTAATTTCAGGATGCCCACCTTGCTCAGTGTTGGAAAAATGAATGTGTCTTCCTCTGCAAGGCTTTCAGCCATCATCCTGCATGTGGCCTGAAGAATGCACGGTGCCCCCAACAGCACTGTACACCCTCAGCTGCTTTCCTGTGGGCACTGGCAACATCATGATTATTCTCTACACTACACTGAGCAACAGCTTCTTCCTATGACTCACAAGGAACAAAGGAAGGGGAAAAGAAACCCTAGAGGTCTTCAAAGAGGCAAGTAAAGTCAATAATATATTGCCCAGGAAATGGGTTCCTTCAGAGAATCCCAGACTAGTTTGGGCTGGAAGGGACCTTAAACATCATCTCATCCCACTCCCTTGCCATGGGCAGGAACACCTTCCACTATCCCARGTTCCTCCAAGCCCCATCCAACCTGGCCTTGGACACTTCCAAAGGTGGGGCAGCCACAGCTTCTATGGGCAGCCTGTGCCAGGGCCTCCCCACCCTCAAAGGGAAGGATTTCTTTCTAACATCYAATCTGAATCTACCCTCTTTCATCTTAATGCCATTTACTCCATGAATTACTACCTGCGTGTCCATCTCTACTTGATATCAAGTAGTTATCTTGCCTATTAAAATACTGGATAAAGTCTTCCTTCAGGATGTGCACATGGCAATAGTCATCACCATCTCAAAACCACTTCTGAACTCTTTTCCTTAATCTTGCCTTTASGAAYTGTGTAGTTTAAGCTCTCAAAACTYGGAATACTTTAGTGTGTTTTTGTGTCTTATTTATTAACAAACCAAAGTTATAGGGACCCCTGCTCCCCRTAAATCACACTGCTTTCCTTGGAGTGCCCATCTTAGTAACAATATTCATCCATCTGTCARGAACAGTCACTCTGATCCAAAGAATCACCTTACAGAAACACTTTACAKTATCACTATCATTCATGAAGACTATTAAAAAACTGGTGAGTTTTGAACAACTTAAGCCTAAATTTATGAGAATAGTGTCAGAAGTGAAAAATCAGAAAAGTCCAGAAAAGTAATGCTTGCACTAATATTTAAAGAACCCCCTCTACTAAATTGAATTTAATTCTGGGRTAACTACATTCCAGCACTGCCCAAGTGATGGTTTAGTGCATAAAATTAAAGCAAGAATTCTCCTGTCAACTCCCCCAGTAATCTGGGAAATCATTATACTAAATTAGACAGAAACATTCAGTAGTTGTGCTCAAACTGGACATTATAAAGTAGATTGTCTGATCTAAAAAATGTTACAGCAAACATAAAGCAAATTAAAAGAGTCAATCTGCTCATGTAATAACCCACAAGTCTCATGTTTTGCTTCATGAACTTTTGGGCACATAGACTTTCTATCATTTTGATATCTGTAATAATGAATTAAACAATCATTCTTCCCATGACGAATTTGTGGACCACCAGTAATGAGGACTTCATGCAACAAAATGTATCAAGAGAAAGATTAACACTCACTACCGTCTTTCATCAACCACTGCTTCYTGGAAAACACTGGGCCTAAGTTTCAGCCAGTCCATCGAAACCTTCACAGCTGGAAGAGGATATGCAGTCCCAGAGTCCTCCTGGTAGTCATTTTGTAAAGGGCACTTGCACAGAATTCCAAGAAATGACACTAGAAAGAGAGTAAGGGGAAAACGCAAAACAAAAAAACTACATGATGTGGGAATCACACTTCAAAGTTGACCAAATAACATAATCAAACATATCCCTGCAATAAACCCCTATSTAAGAGCTAATTGTTCAGAACAAGGCAGCCCCATTACTCCATCTTAAACACTCCACCAACAGATCACAATGTGGCGTTTTAAAAATAGTTTTCTACTACGCAGCAGCAGAATCTTGGTAAATTATAAAAATCAGGTGACACAAGCCTAGTGCAAAAATATTCAGTCACCTATTTAGTGGAAATTATCAACTCAACTATCTACTTGCACCTTATTCACTGCAACCAGCAGGTACACAAATGCACTGGAGCTCTGCAGGCARGCACTCAGCCCAGACCCCTTAAGACACACAAGCAGAGAAAGGGTAACCACACCAGTGTGACCATGGGGTCTTCTGAATCAACTCCAGGCTGGAATCTGGAGAAATTCAGCTATTCAGAAATCGAGGTGTGAACAAATAAGGCCAGGCTGATCACAGGCTCAATCAGGTAAAGCAATCAGCATTACGTGGCTAGAGTCTAAAATGCTCTGCACTCCCACTTATCTGTTGGTTGATATAACCAAAGGCACAGAAGTAGCTGAGGTCCTGGTTGACTCAATTTCAGTCTTGTTGAATCAGAACCAGCTCCATTCAAAGCCACTCCAACTGTATGCAGCCAACTGGGGAGCAACCCCCCAAGAGGGGTACTACTCACCACCAAGCTGGATCCAGTTTTGCACCCAAGTTAAAATGTTCTTTCAGAATCAGGAAAATGATGCGAGTTCTGTAAAGCTTCAAACAGAGTAAGYCCAGGACACAGAAATCCAATGGTAGTCAGCACTGCTGACATAAATGATTCTGTGCAACCATCATCTCTCTCAACTTTCTTCCTTTATGTCTATTCTCGGCACTTACCTCACACAGCCATTAAGCTAGATCCTGACAGGAAATTACTAATGGATTCCATGTTAAAACCAAGAGAACTACAGAAATCAATTAGCCCCCACACTTACTGAAGAGAGCCAGGAGCTGTGTCCAGCAGAGCTGCTCATCCTGGCTGTAGCTGTGCTGCTCCGTTTCGTTGCTGAAGTCTCGCAGGTGGTGCAGTTGGAACAGGTTAATCACAGTAATATGGACTAACTGCTGAGAGTTGAAGGCCTTCTGGAACAACAACCTCTGCAACAAAGACACAGGCTGTAGGTATTTTTAGATGGCAAAGCATATGCTTGAAAGGATTAGTAGTTGCTCCTTCACTGATTGACTAATGCTTCTGCCCTTAGGCAACATTCATTCTGGATTTTATTTTCAGGTCATCCCTACCAGCACAGCACTGGGCTTTCCCAGGAGGAATTGGGTGGGTGCCYACTGTTAAGCCCAAGGTTTTTGATTGTACACCATCTCAGACACAAAACAATCAACATCCCCTTAGCAAACGGCTCTCTTCCAGAGCAGGTGCAACTTTGAATGTGCACTGACAGCACTGCAGAGGCTGTASATCCACTGGGTTTGTCTGCCTGTCAAAGAACCAGCACAGAGGTGGTGACATTTAAAAAAAATACCCAAGGAAAATTTAACTGCTGCCTGGTTATGCATTAAAGACTAATTCCACACRTGACTTCAGGGGTCACAGAATGCTTCGGTGGACTAAAATAGCAAGAGCTATTTACAAGTGGCATTCAGTAACTATGCTGGAAAAAACACCTTTCTCAGGACAGGAAAGAGAGTTCAAAGCTTTTCTGGGGAAAAAAAAAGAAGATATCCTAAATMTCAGCCAACATATCTTCAGACAGAACAATCAGGGAAGCAGGTGGATTARCTAGTGTAAGCATCAAGGAAAGGTTTAAGCTCCACATTCACCCTCAACTCTCTAGTTTAGGGCATGAAGCACTGTACAGCTGACAACTGAGACTGGCAGAGCTGCCAGCAGCAGCACCCAGGGCCTGACTGAATGCTSCCAACCCTGCAACTGCTCTCCTCAGAGTTAAAACCAGCCACAAAGTTGAGCTGATTCACTACCATACAGCCAACTTCACATCCACATTCAACTCACTGAAGCTAGAAGAGTTGCTCTCTAATAAATTAGGCCTTATGTTGCATAATATAAACAAAAAAAAAATAATCTAAGCAACAAAGCAGAGCTCAATTAGCWGTTTTAACACTCTGATCAGTCCAGAAAATGAAGACTGTTCCACATGMCTGAGCAATGCTCATAATTATTGATTATAAGTGCTGTGAAAAAAGCAGTACTTTTCAACAGCCAACATCATGCAGAAGGAGAGATACAATTATTCTATTTTGAAACAACATTAACTGAAAGGTTTRGAGCAGCCTACACTGAAAGTTAATTCACAGCAAGTTCAGAGTTTTTTTTAATTTATTTTAAAGAGAGCGTGAATCTAGCTGTAGCAGCACAACTTTAAAACAAAAATATGTAAAAAGGCACTGTAGAGAACATTTATGATTTTTTATATTGCTCAGACCACCTTCCCTATTTTTGACAAGCATCCACTGCTCTGCTGAATTCCCATCCTCCCTGCTTCTTTTCCACAAATTAGGAAGCTGAAGCAGAGCAGTTTTTAAAAGGCACTTACCAGTTAATATGATGTCTTCTCTGAAACTGTACTATTTCGCATAAATACCTTACAAAATTCTTTTGTTTCAGTCTTTGCTGTATTATCCAACATAATGAGCTGGCTATGTAATCAATGGGACTCCTGGGTTTTTCCATGGGAAACACATCTGAATAGTTCYAGTCTGCAGAATTATGATTGTATGGGACACTTTTCAAGGGCAAACTGCTAACAGGAGAGGCAAGTTTTCTGAGGCAGATTAAAAGCAGCCTTAATAACCAGTGGGAGTGAATGAAAGCCATCCAAAAGATGAAGCTCTCAAAACTCCTCAGGCCACCAAGCCAAGACTTCACAGAYGAATCAAGTGCTTTTCACAGGTGTCCAAGAATCATCCAGGTTAAAGAGCAGAGAATCAACAGTGGTCACTCATTTCTCCTCTATCTCCACCAACAATGGACCATGAGTCAAATTGAAAAAATCCCTAATCTTGGCAGAAGTTACCAGAACTATCCAGTGTTAGCTTCAATGCAAAGCTTCCTTAACTGGCTGCTTGAGCTTCCTGTATTTTAGCATGTGAAAGAATTATTACTGGACTGTAATTTTAGAGATCATCTGCTAAAAGTATTTYCCTCAATACACTAATATGTTGTTAGAACTAACCTTGAACTGTTCTTCCAGCTTTTCTCGAAGAGGGCTCAGCTTCTCCAAGTTCTTACTCAGGTACACATGGCCATGGAATTTAATAAATGCCTTGATGAAGTCAGACACGCTCCATCGAGTCTTCACCTCATCACGACTGCATTTAGAACAGGAATACCTGATTCAGTCTTTGGAATTACACACAGCTGCACATAACAYTACAGAATTATTCCTAAATGAAGGAGGAATGTCCATGCAAAGCTACTTTCTCGTGTTGGCACGACATGCTTATTTCCTGAATTCACTAATCAGTCAGGAGCATCACAAACCATTTTTATTCCATACACCTGTGAGGATGCTTTGACTGGACAACAGTTGAGGCATTTCKGTTTCCACTGCCAAATACAAATAACTTCTGGCAAGGCAAGTACTTTCAGAAGAAGTCTCTTCCAACTWATCTGAGTGGAAATAATTTATTTTCTCACCTTTCCAGTGCTTTAGAAAGTGCTTTTTGTAGGTTAGTGGAGGCAGCTGGGAAAGGAAACTTCACAGCAATGCTTCTGCAGTAGTAGAAAATTGTGGTCAAGTGGTCTCCTTTGGAGGAAGCTAGGATAGCCAACTGATTATAAGGCTGACCTAAGGGAGAAAAAGGTAAGTTGTCCAACAAGTTGTCTTGGAGGGAAACATGCTGAATTTCAGGGGATTTGTGGTCACTTAGAAAGGGATCATAAAGTCCTCATTTCTTCAACAGAAAAAGTTCAGATCCAGCTGCTAACCCTTTCGCCCCAGCCTCAGTTCTGTACCACTTCAGTGAAAAAACTTTTAAATTTGTGGTGCAGCAGCTGTTTGGTTTTGTTTTTTAACTTTGGAGAGGGAAGGATTYGGTATGGAGTTTTCTGTTTGGTTTTATTTGCTTGTTTGTTTCTGGGGTTTGAGTTTTGTTTAGCTGTATTTTGTCYAAATAATAAAATACTGTCAGAACCAAGTTTTCATCACCAACATATTTATCTTCATCTATTGGACAAAACCTAGCCTAATTTTACTTCCCTTTCAACAGTTCAAATATTTTTGCCTGGGGAGTTTATAGAACATAGAGAATTTTGCAGTTACAATACAGCTRGTTAAAAATTTGAATTACTGGTTTCAGCAACCTGGCTCAAAAGTGATTTATCCTTCTCTCACCACCCATGCATTCTGGGCTACTGTAAGACAATAGCTAAAAAGCTAGATCCCTGAATTAAAGAACTCATTAACCCGCAGCACAAGCAACTCAAAAAATCCAATTTTAATTACTAAACTATATAAACTGATGTGGGAATAAACAATAAGAGAATAAAAGCAACGTTGGAGCAAGCAAGCTTTCATTAGTTGTACGTTATAATGTATGAATGTAACATAGTATAGCAACAATGAAGCCTTGGAGTAAAGCTGTGTATTGAAAGCTTYCTTGTTTCTAAATCTGCACAAAAAGGAAGCAACACAAATCATACAAATAACCATTATCTAAATGATTTGCTAATGGCTCAGGCTTTGTTGTATGGTTGCTTGGAGAATTTGGGGMGGGATATTTATATAAAAGCCCAGTTTTCAACTGCCACAGAAGGAATGCAATACCCCAAATCTTCCTTTGGAATTATGAACTGAAAAGGCATTCCAGACTTACCATTAGAAGGGACAAGCTGAGCTGCATGTCTATAGTAAGACTCTGCCTGGCTGGTCTGATTCCTATAGCGAGCTAAGAAAACAGAAAAAAAACCCAAGTTGAGGCACAAAATTCTACTGCCTTGCAGTTACTTCCATAAAATCCAACTTACCTGAAGAGCATTTCACCAGTATTTCAGAAATAAGCATCAGAAGAACACATTAMACAAAACAGCACTAAGATTGGACACACTGAACTTTGAGGTGGCTGTTTTGCCTCAGACCTGAGACTGCTGTCTTATGGTCAACAGTGCCAAAAGCACCACATACAAAGACCTAAAAATATTTTTCATCCCTCTTTGCACAATCACCAACTAGATCTATTTTTAGGTAGCTCCAAGAGCAACTGCAGATTCCTGTGAAAAYAGAACTTTCTACAAGACAAAGTTTKACTCAAATCAAGAAAGAAAAAAACTTGTTGAACTTAATGTAAAAAAGAAACTCCATTTATGAAAGGCTGGATTTCTAACTGGTGCCTTTGTATAGAAGATGTTAATGTTCTGGAATGGGTAAATGTGCTAGGCTGCCACAGCAAGCTTTTGTAATAGTTACCAGTTGCAGCACTTCCCTGTGCCTACCAGCTAGAACATGACTAGAATGCTACAAGACAGACTCCAGCAGATCACTAGAAAGCCAGTGATTACCTGTCTCCATGTGTTAATGTGTAATACACATTAAAAAGTCTGAACAAGATTCTTTCCAAATCTTTTCCCCTACAGCAAGCAAAGGCACCATCAAGCACTAGCTACTATAGAGGAGCACACTTGCTCCAGCGGTTGCCATGGTATGCACAGATCCCTCTCTGGAAGCTGAACACAGATGTAACTCCATCCTGGATCTTTCCTTCCAAAACTCACCAATATCTCCCAGATGGACAAGGCAGTGCTGGCAGATGTAGGAGCAGGAGCTGGACTGCGGCTTCACGATGGCGCTGGTGTGCGTCTGTTTATTGCTAATGATCCCCAGCTGGGAAGACTTCACACGACATGGCAGGTCTACGTTAAAAACTGTGCACAATTCCTGTAATAACTGCAAAAACAGGGCTGGCTCAGTAGCAGCTTAAGACAGGCATTGGAAAGGCATCAAAACAAGTCACAAAACTAGCAGAGCACCACTCAGAGGCACAGATGAGCCAAACACATTTGAAGTGAACAAGACCAAGTTACTGAAAGTGAGACTTTAAAATACGCTCTCCGTATGGAATTCGTAGAGTTCCATAGTGCCCACTGCGTTCATCTGCCCAGAACCATGAAGAGAAGACTAACTTCTCCTCAGTAAAAAAAAGCTCTGCATCCCAAACCAGTAAGCAACTCAATCCTCATAATATTTCAATCACCAAGGATTTATCAGTGGAAATTGACTGTACGAGGTCTACAGATATTGTTGAGTTTCACCGTTTTGCTTTGTGTTTGTTTGTTTTTTCAAGTAGGACACTGAAGAGGAACAGAGTGGGTTTTATATCTTGATGAAGTGACATTGTCAGTTCTCTGAAAATAATAGAAAGGAACATCCCTCATCCCCCAAAGAAGCTTGTTCCAATGTAACAGACGGCACTATCCCACATTAAAATTTAGAAAGAAGCTGGAACATAACCAAGTTTGCAAGCCACGCGAAGAAATACTAACAGTTCAGTGGCTGAGCTGTCAGTAAATATTTGTGCTAAGCCRACAGTGAGACTCTTTCAAGGAAGAAAGCATCAGCTACTTGATCAAATATCTTAAAAGGGATTGAAGGAAAGCCTAGATCCCACCATTCTAATTCGTGCTTTTGAAGATTTTCCTAACGGACTCCATTAATATTCCACAAAGTAACAGCAACTAGAGGGTGAAGAAGAGTGTTTGTTCCACTGAGTTACAAGGTTAAAAATTCAGGTAAGCAGTGACAGACTTTCGCCCAGCTGGGAACATGCTCAATCTACAAATAAAACAGACCTGCAGCAGGGTTGCGCTTCCAGATAAAGGCACAGAGAAAGCCCATGGCTGACAGAGACACACACTCTGTCAACAGCTAAACATGCGACGCCATGCTTTTGATTGCTGCAGAAGAAGATTTATGTTGCATCTCTCCCCTTTGGCTCTGTCTTCATAGAGATCCAAACAAGAGGTATCTCACAGATAAAAGCTAGATAAAAGAGAGCAACTTGACATTTTCCAAGATGCTGAATTAAGAGAATTCATGTTCTCTTTCAAAGATGTCACTTATGGAGGCCTCAYAGCAGGAGAACAGGTACCTTGGCTGAGCCAAGGCTTTAGACTAAAAGTGTGATTAATATCACAGCAAACAGAGAAAGACGWCCCACTCTGTGGTGTCCAACTCAGGAAGAGTAAAATTCCCTGATCCACTGCAGGAAAGAACAAGGTCTTTGCAAGACGAACAGTGCAGATGGTAGAAAGCCCTTGACAACCATGACAGCCTGTCAAACTGACTGCTTCCAACAAGGA